GGCCCCATATACCAAGTGTGGCAGGTTCAAACCTGGCCCCGGCCAAACTGCAACCAAAAAATAGCCGGGCGTTGTGGTGGGCACCTGTAGTCCCAGGAGGCTGAGGCAAGAGAATCACCTAAGCCCAAGAGCCGAGGTTGCTGTGAGCTGTGACGCCACAGCACACTACCGAGGGCAACAAAGACTGTCTATAAAAAAAAAAAAGAAGAAGAAGAAAAAGTTCTAATGTTAAAGTAGGTATCACTTCCCCTAGAAAGCAGCTTCCGTTCACTCACGCTGGGTCAGGGCCCTCCAGGCTACTTGAATGCCCGTTTCGTGGCACTAACCTCAGTGCACTGCAGTTCCCGAGCAGATGGTGAGCCTGGTGTGTGCTACAAATGGACAGTAAATGGTGAATAAATGAATGAGAGCTGCTCTTCCTGTGAGCCACGCCAGGCACCTGAATCTCCTGGCTCTTGTGACCTGTTACTTTTAAGCCCATTTAAGCCCTGTTCCTCCCTCACTGGCCTGAGAGCCTTATAACTCCCACAGCCTTCCCACCCCCTGCCCGGGGGTAACATTATTCATCACCACTGGAAAAGTTTGAGAAAAGGCCCGCATTCCAACTGCCCACCCATGAGCCACAATGTAGCTCAACCACCTAGAGGGCACAAAGGGCCTTACCCACAACCCAGCTAAGGAAAAGCCTGTGTAAACCCTTGCTGGTCTCGTCGCTGGGAGCCCACACTCTGGATCATCAATGCTTAGTGAAGCCTTTGGGAGCTCAGGCTTTGAAATGAGGCTGGGCCCGGAGATTCCTCATGTTTGCTTTTGTTTGTTTTTGAGACGAAAGTCTAACTCTATCACCTGGAGTAGAGCACCATGGCGTCCTAGCTCACAGCATCCTCAAACTCTTGGGCTCAAGAGATCCTCTTGCCTCAGCCTCATAAGTGGCTGGTACTACAGGTACCCACCATGCCTGGCTAGTTTTAGAGATGGGGTCTCACTCTTGCTCAAGCTGGTCTCAAACTCCTGAGCTCAAGGGATCCTCCTGGCTCACCCTCTCAGAGTGCTGGGATTTCAGGCCTGAGGCACTGTGCTTGGCCTCATGTCAGCTTTTATTTATTGAGTGCCTAGCATATTACAGCCTCAGAGCTGGTAGCCTCTGAGCAATTACTTCACTTTTTAAACCTCTATTTTTTCACGTATAGAATGAGGGTGATCCCTGTCCTGTGTGGTTATCATGAGAATGAAGTTTTTGTTTGTTTTAAGACAGAGTCTCATTTTCTTGTCCAGGCTACAGTGCCGTGGCAACAGCCTAGCTCACAGCAACTTCAAACTCAGGCTCCAGTGATTCTCCTGCCTCAGCCTTCCAAGCAGCTGGGGCTATAGGCAACCACTATGACACCCAGATAATTTTTCTATTTTTGGTTGAGACATAGAGTCTCACTCTTGCTCAGGCTGGTCTCTAATCCCTGAACTTAAGGAATCCTCCTGCCTCAGCCTCCCAGAGTGCTAGGATTACAGGCATGAGCCACTGCACCTGGCCAGGTGACATCAGTTCTTAAGGATACTTCTGGGCAACTCACAGCATCTTACATTTATGGGATTCTCACAGTGACCCTAGGAGCTGAGTGTCATTATTAGCTGCATTTTACAAATGAGGAAACTGAGGCAGAGAAGGTAAATGACTTGTCCAGGGTCAAAAACCACAAAGAGGTAGAGTCAAGATCCAAACCTAGGTAGTTGACTCCAGTGCCAGTGTCCTTAACCGCTGAACCACAATATTTCCCCAGGATGGCCCTGGCAGCGTGTCCAGCAGAGGGTGTGGCTCTGGTGAGTGCTCCAGAAAAACTGTTTTCCTTTCTCCTCTCTTCCTCTGTTTTAAGTATCAAGGTTCTTTAGAGACTATTATTAATGAAAAGTGTGGTGGCCCTATTTAGGAACTCCCTGGCCACCCTCTGGTGTCTTGCCTGCAGGCTCGCTTTCTAAAGGGCCTGGAGCCTGTTGTAAAGGTTATATGCAGTGTAGCAGCCAGTCTGCAGCAGCACAGACCTTCATCCCTTCCAGGAAGTCATATCAAACACCTTGCTCCTCTCTTGGCATTGTCCTTAGGACACTAATGAGAGAGTCCCCAAAGAAATTGTCCCAACTGTGAGCTCTCCTCCCACAAGGTTCATGAGAAAGAGGTGTGCATTTTGGCCAACTATTGCAAATATCAAATTCCCCCCTTCTTCTGGATTGAATTTTGTCTCCCTCCCAAAACTTCCTATCCACCTGGAACTTGTGAGTATGACCTTATTTGCAGATATAATCGAGTTAAGATGAGATCATACCGGATCAGAGTGAGCCCTAAAACCAATTATAGCTGATGTCCTTATAAGAAATGGGAAATTAACTCATTAACTTGTATTCATCATAAATTTCTTTTTAAGGTTGTTTTTGGATTATTAGTAGAGTTTGCATTTTCTTGCAATCAAATTTATAAAATTTCGGCTCAGCGCCTGTGGCTCAAGCAGCTAAGGCGCCAGCCACATACACCTGAGCTGGCGGGTTCGAATCCAGCCCGGGCCGGCCAAACAATGACGGCTGCAACCAAAAAATAGCCAGGTGTTGTAGCAGGCGCCTGTGGTCCCAGCTACTTGGGAGGCAGAGGCAAGAGACTCACTTGAGCCCAGGAGTTGGAGGTTGTTGTGAGCTGTGATGCCACAGCACTCTACCCAGGGCGACAGCTTGAGGCTCTGTCTCAAAAATAAATAAATAAATAAATAATTTATAAAATGTCAAAAAAAAAAAAAAAGAAATGGTAAATTTGGATACAGACACACAGGGAAAAGGTCATGAGATAATGGAGGCATAGGTTGGAATGATCATCCATAAGCCAAGGAATACCAGGGATTGCCAGCAACCACCAGAAGCTAGGAAGGGGCAGGAATCCTTTCCTCCAGAACCTTCAGAAGTAGTGCAGCATTGCTAACAACTTGATTTTGGACTCCAGAACCATGAAAGAATAAATTTCTGCTGTTTTAAGCCACCCAGTTTGTGGTTATTTATTACAACATCCATAGGAATCTAAGATACCCCCAAACCTAGTGATATAAAGCAACAAGGGTTCCTTACATTTCAATTCTGTGGGAGCGCCGGGCTCATCTGGGTGGTTCCACATGGTGTTAGTTTGGGTGGCTCAGGCGTCAATCAGCTAAAAGCTGGGCTGGGGACTGGGGCTTCACTCAGATGACTGGCAGTTTGTGATGGCTGTTGGCTGGGGGGGTCTTCGTTCTTCACCACGTGGCCTCTTATCTCCACATAGCTGAGATGTCTTTACATGGCACTGGCTTCAGAGGTAGAAACAGAAGAGGGCAGAAGCTACGGGCTCTCTTAAGGCCTTCACCCAGAATTGTATTCTATCGATCAAACCAGGTCATGTGAGCCATCTCAATTCAAGGAGAGGGAAAATACACTCCACTCTTGATGTGAGATGTAACAAAGACAGTACAAAAAGTCATCTGTGATGGGAGAGATCGGTATAGCATCTTTGGAAACAACCCACCGCAGGAGGAGAGAGAGAGAGCAGAAGCATCTGCCAAGAGCCCCAGAGACGTGCTCCCTGTCATCAAGCTTCCTGACATGGCTGAGATAGGAACTGCTCTGCCTGAGCAGGGGTCCCCCAAACCCAGCTGCAAACCCAGCTCAGCCACACACACCCCCCACAGGGTGACGCTGGGGCAGTCCTTCACTCGCTCAGTAATAATTTACTGAGCACCTATCTGGTGTCAGACCCAGAGCCAGGCTCTAAGTCCCAGGAGTGAAGAGGAAAGTCTCCACGGAACTATCAGTCTAGTAGAAGGAAACGGCACATACATAGACAAGCTGATCACAGTGTGACAAGTAGAGGAATTGCAGGGAGATGGGCTGGAGCATCTCTGAGGGCAGAGAGGCCAGGGCATGCCTGAAGGGCAGAGCCCTGGTGGGTGAGAAGGCCTGCCCCATTCCCGGACCCCATGTCCTCCTCTGGATGTGGAGCCTTGCCTCAGGGGCTTGAGCACCCAGGCAGGGCCTTGAAAGAGCTGGGTCCTCCAAAGCCGGTCTTGAGGTCAGCACCGGGTGGGTACAACACCTCTGGGGAGAAAGATCAAGAGAAGAGGCAGGAAAGGCCAAGCCTCCCCAGGAATCTTCAGGGACCCAGCCATGGTGCCCCTGCCCTACCTCCCTGGGGTGCTCTGGGCTTGGCCTGCCTCACAGCGGTTGGGTGAGGCTCTGAGCCAGCAAATCAGTCACTAGACAAATCATTTACTTCTGCTCAGCATCTTTATTACTGTGTTCAACCCTAATGTTGGGTGCTGGATAGGGTTGGGAGGGGAGCCAGAGATTCCAAAAGCAGTAACTCCCTTTCTTCTCCTCTGGGCCTCAGTTTCTCTCTCTGTCCAGTGGGTGGGAGGAAGGCTTCCCCTGCTTCCTTCACTGGGATACTGTGAGGTTCCAAAGCCACAGACCACCAACACTGCTCAGATGTGGTCCTTCCCCGGAGGGCTCAGCATCAGTGAGGGAGACCTGTGCCCTGGCCCAACATTAGAGGCTGATGAGAAGGGTGGGTGGGTCACAGCCCAGAGACCAGGAAATGTCTAGGAGCTTCTCAGCCATGGGCTGGCTTCACCAGGCTCCATCCTGGAAGTTGACAACTGGTTGTGTGTTGAACCTGCATCGACACCCTCACGTCTGGGTAGGCTTCTATAACTCTCATTCTGATCATAGTCCATAGGGCCCCCCAGCCTAGAAAAGAGAGAGCAGGGCCTTCCTTTTCAGCCTTTTTGGGGTCTTTGCTGAGGGCCAACACTAGAAGGGCAGCTCCACAGGAACTGGTGGCAGAGACCTAGTTGTGTCAAGTAAGGAAAGCTGGCTACTCCACGCAGATGAGGCTGCCCTATCCACATCCAGAAGAGCCATGATGAGGTAGGTAGGTCAGCAGACATCTGTCTCATCCAGGAGTGGCGGGGTGGGGAAGACTGTTGCTTCCAGCATCTTTAGCTGGTGGTGCCCAGTGGGGGCTCTGGGGAGGCTGGCCGGCTGAAGGTCACGCTGGGAAAGCTGGTGACAAAGCTTTCCCACCTTCTCCTTACCTGCTGGAAGACAGACATAGGTGGAGGTTAGGGCCCATGTCCCGCAGGCTGAGAGGTGGGCTTCAGTTGTTGTTCCACCCACAACCACGAGGTGGGGGTAGACCCCAGGGAGAGAAGCACAGCACATTAGCGACACTTTCTCCTAGGCAGGAGGCTGGGGCCCAGGAAATAGAGGCTCCCCCAAAGGGGTCTGGATCTTCCCTTTCCCCTTGGCCCCCCCCACCCCCTGTAAGAGGGTCACAGAATGTAACTCTTGGCAAGTTATACCGGCTGATCTCCTTGCCTCCTACTCCACTCACCCATCTAGAGTAATCTTTTTTTTTTTTTTGAGACAGAGTCTTCTTACTTGGTCGCCCTTGGTAGAGTGCTGTGTTATCACAGCTCACAGTAACCTCAAACTCTTGGGCTCAAGCGATTCTCTTGCCTCAGCCTCACAAGTAGCTGGGACTACAGGTGTCCACCATAATGCTCAGCTATTTTTTAGAGACAGGGTCTCACTCTTGCTTAGGCTGGTCTCAAACTTGTGAGCTCAGGCAACACACCCGCCTGGGCCTCCCAAGTGCTGGGATTACAGTGAGCCACCACACCCGGCCTTCAGAATAATCATCTTGAAACAGTTCTGACCATATCACTCTCCTGCTCTAAAACCTTCAGTGACTCCCCAGTGCCTGTGGAGTAAATGCCAGACACCTTCAGCACCTGTGAAACATGGTTCCAGGGTAGCTCTCTCTCTAGCTTCATGTCCAGGCAGCTGTCTGTGTTTCTACCTCTGGCAGGCAGTCCCCACTGACCCCTGCAGCAGGTACCCTTCCATCCTTTGCCCCTTGCCATACCTGTTGGTACTGTCTCAGCCACATCCAGCTGCCTCTGTGCTGAGCTTGGATCAGCTGCTCTGTGTCCCCCAGGCCCCCTGGCAGTTGCTCCTGAGCACCCAGCCCTTCCATGCCTCTCTCAAGGCCCCAGGACTTGGACTTCTCATGCCCCTGTTGGCGGAGGCTCAGTGCCCGGTGGAGTCGGCCCTCCTGGAGTTTCCCATAGGTGGGTCGGGAGCCTCGCAAGGACTGGCTCCTCAGCCCCACTCCCATTTCTCTGGAAGCTGTAAGGACAGGACTGCTTCGGCCTCTCAGCCAGCCACTGGCCCTCCACCCATGTACAAGAGATCACCTGGGGGCAAAGGTTGGTGCTGCTGAGGTGGCCGTCATAAATCAAAGGGCAGGCCACAGGGGCCAAGTATCACTGCCTTACCTTCCCTGCGAGGAGTGCAAGCCAAGCGATGGGATCATGTTGCTTCTTCCTCCTCCTCTCCCAGCAAGCTTCCCTGACCACTCCACTCTAAGGAGTGTGGCCTCCTCTGAATTCCTGTGGCCCCGGCTTCCAGTGACACTGAGCACAGAGGACTCAACAGCAAAAGGGAGACAGGTTTTTAGAATCAGTGTAGCTCCTGCCTAAAGCAGTCAATTCATACAGATAGAAAGCAGAATGGTGGCAGGCAGGGGCTGGGGTAGGGAGGGATGAAGTCTTTGTTTAATTATGGATTTTCAGCTTTTAGAAGATGAAAGAGTTCTGGACAACAGTGAGATTGTATGTAACACTACTGAACCAAAATATGGTTGAGATGGCAAATTTTGTTGTTACACTTCAGTTTGTTTGTTTGTTTGAGACAGACTCTCACTGCCACCCTGGGTAGAGTGCCATGGCATCACAGCTCACAGCAACATCAAACTCTTGGGCTTAAGAGATCGTCTTTTCTCAGCCTCCTGAGTAGACGGGACTATAGGCGCCACCACAATGCCTGACGTACTTTTTTTTTTTTTTTTGAAGTTTTTGGCTGGGTCTGGGTTTGAACCTGCCACCTGCAGCATATGGGGCTAGCGCCCTACTCCTTTGAGCCACAGGCGCTGCCCAAACACCTGGCTATTTTTAGAGACAGGGTCTCACTGTAGCTCAGGCTGGTCTCAAACTCGTGAGCTCAGGCGATCCACCCTCCTCCGCCTCCCAGTGTAATCCCTCCAAGCCTGGGATTACAGGCTTGAGCCACCATGCCCAGCTGCTGTTTAGATTTTTTTGAGACAGAGTCTCACTCTGTCACTCAGGCTAGAGTGCCATGGCCTCAGCCTAGCTCACAGCAGCTGCAAACGCTTGGGTTCAAGCAATCCTCCTGCCTCACCCTCACGAGTAGGTGGGACTATAGGCGCCCATTGAAACACCAATAAAATGAGGGCCAGGTGTAGTGGCTCAAACCTGCAATCCTAGCACTCTAACAGGCCAAGTCTGGGGAGCACCTGAGCTCAGAAGTTCGAGACTACCCTGGGCAAGAGGGAGACCTTGTCTGTACTAAAAATAGAAAAATTAGCTGGACATTGTGTGGGCTCCTGTAGTCCCAGCTACATGGGAGGCTGAGGCAGGAAGATTGCTTGAACCCACGAAACTTGAGACTGTTGTTAGCTAGGTTGATGCCACAGCACTCTAGTTTGAGGTAACAGAGCAAAACTGTTTCTGAAAAAAATAGAAAGAACAAAAAAAGCAAAGCAGAAAAAAAAAAGAAAGAAAAATGAAATCTAAAGGTGTGTCACCAGCAGCAGCCTTTTTTTCCAAAGCAGGGAAAGAGAGAGAGATCTGGGACCAGACTAGCAGATTGCTCAGAACTATAGAAATCAAGGGCTGGAGGACCTCGTACATCTGCTTCCCATTCCTTTTTGTTTTAACCACTGCATGTTGAGCATTTTTACTAATCCTTCTGCAGATTTCATCTAAACCTCATGACAGTCCAGTGAGGTGGGGATTATCATCCCATTTTATGGATCAGGAAACTGAGGTTCTGAAAGATTAAGCATCTGGTCAGGGAGTGTGCCTAATAAATGGCAGAGTTGAGAACTCTACCCTGGCCAGCCTGGTTTTAAAGCCTGTGCTTCAACCACTCTGCTCTCTTGCCCTGGAGTCAGCAGCAGAGGTAGGTCCAGAAGCCAGGTGTCCTGCCACCTCCAGGTCCAGGCTGGCACAGGAACCTCAGCCTGGGGTCAAGGAAGTGCTGACTGCAACTTTGTAGCCTTGTACCCCTGGGCTTGGCCTTGGCCTCTTTCCTGCCTCTCAGAGTTTCTTTTTTGTTTTGTAGAGATAGAGTCTCACTTTATTGCCCTTACTAGAGTGCCGTGGTGTCACAGCTCACAGTAACCTCCAACTCCTGGGCTTGGGCGATTCTCCTGCCTCAGCTTCCCAAGTAGCTGGAAGGGTGCCACCACAATGCTTGCTATTTTTTTGTTGCAGTTTGGCCGGGGTGGGTTTGAACCTGCGACCCTCAGTATATGAGGCCGGTGCCCTACCCACTGAGTGACAGGTGGTGCCCCACTCAGGGTTTCTTGATCTTCCTTAGGTGAATGGTCATTTAATATCTGCCACACTCAGCTCCCAAAGGAGCTAAGACCAGTGTGAAGAGAATGGGGAATAGGACCCTGACACTCTGCCCTAGTCCATCCCAAACACTGACTCGGATTTGCACCCACTCCTCTTTATTTCAACGCTAACCAGGTTTCTTAAGTTAAATCCGCAGGTCTTCCCTGACCCTGGTCAAAAAGCCCCCAAATCATTACACAATTTTCAAGGCTCACACCCCAAGACTTGTAGTCAACTCAAATCTATGCTCTCACAAAAGTCTGAGCCCAGGAAGGGCCTGCTGACTCACGGAAGCTGGAGCCGTGTTGGGATGAATCACTGGCTCTTGCGTCAAGCGCGTAGCTGCTGCATACCTTCTTGCCAAATATGCAGTCTTAGAACAAGTTCTCAAACTCATTGAGGCCAGAAAGAAAATACATGTTCACTGTGGGGTCCGGATGCTTGCGGGGGGAGGGGCGAAGCTGGGAGATGGCGTCGGGAGCGGCTCGCTGGCTAGCACTGGCACCAGTCCGATCCGGGGCTTTCTGGGGCGGGACAAACTTGAGGAAACGTGGCAATGCCGGCGGCTCAGGTCAGAACTTGGTGCCCTCGAGGTTTGCCCAACCCGGTGAAAATGTCCTTGGGCCTTCTCCGCCTGTTCTCCATTGTGATCCCCTTGCTCTATGTTGGAAAGCTCATTAGCAAGAACTTCGCTGCTCTACTTGAGGAACATGACAATTTCGTCCCAGAGGATAATAATGATGATGAAAGTACAGAATGGAGAAGGCACTAAAGAAATGGTGAGACTCTCAGCCTCTCCTTCCCTGTCAGAGGGTTCAGGGAAAGCCCTCAGCCTCCCCCATCCAGTGAAGCCTCCTGCATGGTCCATTACCACAGCCCCTATCCTGGAGGTTCCCCTGAGATGTGCTGTCTACTGAGCACTGGAAAAACAAGCAATCGAATATGAATAAATGTAGTAAACATCAAAAAAAAAGAAAGAAAGAAAAGAAAATACATGTTCACATCCTTCCCTACTCACTTCTTCCCTGTTTTCGTCACCTGATGTCTTAATCTGTTTCATGTTGCTATCTTAGAATATCTAAGACTGGGTAATTAATAAATACTAGAAGTTTATTTGGGCTGGGCACAGTGGCTCTTACCTGTAATCCTAGCACTATGGGAGTTGCCAAGGCAGGTAGATTGCCCAAGCTCAGGAGTTTGAGACCAGCCTGAGCCAGAGTGAGACCCCATCTCTAAAAAGAAAAAAAAATAGCTGGGTGTTGTGGCAGGCACCTGTAGTCCCAGCTACTCAGGAGGCTGAGGCAAGAGGATCCCTTGTGCCCCAAGAGTTTGAGGTTGCTGTGAGCTATGATATCACAGCACTCTGCTGAGAGTGACAAAATGACACTCTGTCTCAAAAAAAGAAAAAAAGAAAAGAAATTTATTTGACTCATTGTTCTGGAGTCCAGGAAGGCCAAGAGCATGGCATGAGTATCTGGCAAGGGCCTTTGTGCTGTGTGATCCTGGGGCAGACGGCAGAAGGGCAAGAGAGAGTGACAGCAAACAAGGGTGAGGGGGGCTGAGCTCTTTTTAAAACTTTGGTGCAGCCTCAACTCCTGGGCTCAAGCAATCCTCCTGCCTCAACCTCCCAAGTAGCTGAGACTACTGGTGCCCACCACCATGTCTGGCTAATTTTCAAAAACTTTATGTAGTGAGTTGTGCCTGTGGCTCAGTGGGTAGGGCGCCAGCCCCATATACCGAGGGTGGCTTGTTTGAACCCAGCCCCGGCCAAACTGCAACAAAAAATAGCTGAGCATTGTGGTGGGCACCTGTAGTCCCAGCTACTGGGGAGGCTGAGGCAAAAGGATCGCCTAAGCCCAAGAGTTGGAGGTTGCTGTGAGCTGTGATTCCATAGCACTCTACCGAGGGCAACAAAGTAAGACTCTGTCTCAAAAAAAATAAGTAAATAAAATAAATCAAAAACTTTATGTAGAAATAGGGTCTTGTTGTGTTGCTGAGACTGGTCTCGAGCTCCTGGCCTCAAACAGTTCTCCACATTGCCCTCCCAAAGTGCTAGGATTATAGGCATGAGCTACTCATCTTGCCAGAACTTGGTTTTCTCAAGAACTTACTCCCTGATAAATAGATAACTACGTTAATCTGTCTAAGAGGACAGAATCCTCTTAATGTTCACACCTCTTAATACTATCCCAATGGCAATTAAATTTCAACTAAGTTTTTGAGAGGACATTTAAGACTGGCAAGATTTTGCTCACCTTTCCAGATCTTGCTCTGGAGGGTGCAGCATCTCACACCTGTAATTCCTGCACTCTGGGAGGCTGAAGCTGGTGAATCACTCAAGATCAGGAGGTCAAGATCAGCCTGAGCAAGAGTGAGATCCAATCTCTACCAAAAATAGAAAAACTAGCTGGGCATTGTGGTGGGCACCTGTAGTCCCAGCTATTCAGGAGGCTGAGGCAAGAGGATCACTTGAGCCCAAGAGTTTGAGCTTGCTGTGAGCTATGACACCATAGCACTCTACTCAGGGTGCCAGAGTGAGACTGTCTCCAAAAATGAAACCTATCTTTTTTGTCTCTGTGTCCTCAGGACCAACAGAGCAAACCCTTGGTGTTACACATTGGGGACTGTTAGTTGTCTACTGTGTCTCCTGCTATGTAATCATGTAATCATGCTATGCAATCATCCCAACACTTAG